TAATAATAATAATAATAATAATAATAATAATAATAATAATTTTGATTATAATATTTGATAATTACATATCTGTTTTAATATATTAGAAAGTATAGATAAAGCTTATATCAATTAGCCTATTTCAATTTTTTACTGCTAAATAAACTTATAGGTAGATTGAAGTTTTAAAAATGTTACGTCAAAACCTTAAAGAAATGCATATATTTAATAAGTTATGCAAAACACATATTCAGTTATTTCTTACTTTTTTTGAGTTGTTTAAAATATAAAATGGTAAAATTATTATTTTTTAATATTTATATTATAAATAAAAAGAAATTATATTAGTCTTATAGTTTAAAATTTATAAAAATATATTGACTAATATAAAATAATTAAAAAAAACTAATTAAAAATTATTGATTACTATTTTCATCGGTATAAGATGAAGTATTTAGTATTATCGTCTATTTGTTAGAAAACTTGTATCAATTATTAAATAGAAATTTTGTCGAGATATTTCAATCAATTAAGTATGTATAATAATGTTAATATGATTAAATATGTTTATTATATTTAATATTATACTAAAAATTAAATGATATTCTAATTTAAATAAAATGAAATGATTAAATAATTCAATTATTTTACAGTTATATTTTAAGAAAAGTTATTAACGGGTCTTTAACTTGAAAAATAATTAAGTATCTTCTTTATAGTAAAATTGTGGTTAATTATTATGTAATTAAACATTAATTTGACCAAATTAAAGGGTAAAAAAATTAAAGTATTGAAATAAAATATTAATTAAAAACATTATTTAAGTAGTTATTACTTTTCTCAGGCATTTTAATTAAATAATAAGTTCAAACTTAAAATAATGCATAAAGGCACAATAAAATAGTTTTCACATATTGGTGTTATATAATATCAATAATTAAAATAAAAATATTATGATTTACAATATATATATATATATATATATATATATATATATATATATATATTTCAAAACAAAGAAACTATATTATCGTCACAAAGCCTAATAATTATTTTTCCAATTATTTTTTACATATTTTATCAACTTTTCTTGGAGAATGAATTTTTTTTCATAGCAAAGGAAAAAAATAAGTGAGTTTATATAATTTTTACGAATTTGTTAGTCTCATATCCCATTCTATTATTTTTATACTTCAACATGGAAATGTATTTTTATTGTATATCTAGACAAATTTTTGCTATGCAACAATTTTATTTTATTTTTTATCCCAATAAATCTTATCTAGATACATAAGATGGTTTTTCATTAAGCTTCACAAATATTTTTGAATAAAATACATTTTTGATAAAAAAGAATTTATTGTTTATCTTGATAAAAGAAAAATTGAGAGATGTAACATAAATAACATAAATTTATTTTTAAGGTGAAAACTTCACAATATACGAAGAAAGGTTTCATTTGTTTCTCTGTAGATCTTATTATAAATGTACTTTTTATATATGGGCCTTTTGGTCCAGAAAGTTTAAAAATATTAAAGTGAGCTTAAGAAAAAACAATTTCTTCCAGCACCTCTACTTTCTTCAAGATGTTATATTCCTTTAAAAATATAATACTATCATTAATATAAATAAGTTTTGAATTTACTCTTTTATAAAATTTTCAGAATTAATTTTCAAAAATATTTTAAATTGACGTTTTTAAAAGTGGTTTGGAATCAATTTTTCGAAAATGTTCAAAAAATTGATTATGGAAGAGTTATAGAAAATTTTGGAAAAAATCAATTAGAAATATTTATGAAATATTTATTCTAGAACCTTTATAGAAAAATGATATAAAATAATAATATATTTTTTAAGTTATGAATTAAACTATTTAAAATATATATATAAAAAAATATTTTTTAAAATGTTCATACTTAGGTAAAGATCCGTGGTTGAATAAAATAAAAAATAATTATTACAGCACTATATATATTACATACCTCACTGTATTAGTTCTACAACTTTAATCATCTTCATTTTAGTTATGAATCTTATCCAACTCTCCTATGCATATGTATAAATTACATAAGGCTTAAAAAATAACAACTTATGCAATTACCTTTAAATGGTCTTGTACAGGGTACCAAAACCTTAATCATTTTATGGGTTTATTTAGCAACTTGTCACCAACACTTGTCAAGCATCTCATAAAGCAACTATAATGATATGTAAAACCGAGTTTTGATAATTCCCCACATCGCATCATTTATAAGAAATCAATGTATAATTTTGTTTCAGAAGTAAAAAAAAATCATGAAACTTAAAAAAAACTTCCAGAAAGCCACACATTTTAAACCGAATATTATAAAGAAACGATTTTTATATAAGAAATCTCAAAAACCCACGTTGCCACATAGACTTATTCCAATAATAAATTATTTTAAGAAATTATTTATTGATTATAAGAATTTTGGAAGAAATAATTATCAGAGATATACTCTGATAAGTTTTTCAGATTATTTTAAAGTCTTCTAGCTTAATTATTAATTAACTTTTTGAGTTTATCAAAAAAGTTTTTAGCTTGTCAATAAACTATTTTTAGAAAATAAAGCAGAAAACCCAAAGATCATCAGCAATAAATGACAACGTAATAAATGTTTGAAGTTATCTGAAACTCCTACATTTTGTAGGAATTGTTTATAGAACTTTTATCTTTCACAAACATCAATTATTAGTTTAAAGCTCTTTCTTCCTCAAAAATAATTAAATATTTATCAATATGCTATTAATTGTATTTGATTTGTATCCTATTCTAATTTTAAGTTTATAGGATTGTAATCTATCTCATTATGAGATACTTAATTATTATCTTGTACATTTAAATCGATGAAATACAACAACTTTACTTACTATTTTTAATGTATATTTATGAGTTATGAATAATAATATTCAGTTGCCAAAAATTTGATATATAATAAAAAATAATCATACATCCATAAGAAGACGATGTCACAAAAGCCTACACTATAAATCCATCTATTATATGAAGACTTAATAAAGCTTTAATTTGCTTGAATAAAAATATATAAAGACTTAATAAAAAATATAACTTAATTACAAGATAATCAATTTTAAGTAAAAATAATAATTAAAAAATATAATTAGATTATGCACTTTCATGTTGTTTTGTGATGATTTTTAATCATATTTTTTGAACCAAATTTTATACCGAAAGGATTACTGTCTTGAATAAATTTAAAAACATAAAATACTATTTTTTTAAAAATCATTAAAAAGGTAAAGTACCAAAATTAGAATAGACTAAAACTTATAGAAAGCCGTGGATTTATTTTAAATATACAATAGCTTAACAGTTTCATAATTTTCCATATTTTATGAATTTAATTTAATTTGAGTTCATTTTTATACAAATACTTGAAGTTATACACTGATAAACCGACAATCGACCATACTAGGAAAGAAAAGAAGCGGCGACAGGGAGGCAATGTGTATGCTTCGAGATGCAAATGCTTTCAAGTGCAATGCAATTTGCCAATGGCAGAGAATGAGGAAAGATTATTGCCAATTAGGCACAGCACACAGTGTGTGGCGTGGATCATGAGTATTGTAAGAGTCTGTAACCCTTCCTTCCATTCCCTTGACATGCGTATGGATTCCTGTGTTCGTGCGTTGGCATCCCTGCCATTAATGGGGAGGCTAAAGATCAAGACTTTCAGGGTCCTCTATCGATATATTACTCACCAAGTATGGATTTTGTTTTTTCTCATGCTTTTACTTAATCTTAATATTCTATTTTATATTATTAGTCTGACGGTTCCGGATTTGTTATGTGATTAAATTTTTGCTCTTTGATTTTATTTTATTTTTTGTGTGTGAATCTATGGTCTCGTTGTCTGATTATTGCTGGGATTGTGGGTATCTAATAGTTATGTTTTTCATGTTAATTACTTATTTATTTTCTTTCAGAAAAAAAAAGAAGAAATTGTTTCCTAGGGCTGTTGTTTCTGGCGTTTCATTTTCCTTTCTCTTACTCGGAATCATGAGTCTTAATATATTTTGGTCTTTATTCATCGTATGATTGTGAAAAAAAGAAAGAAAAGAAAAAGCAGTAGTGATACTTATAGGAAGTTACTTCTGTTCTTTCTTATCACTGAATTGTAAAGGTTTAGCTTCTTCATACAAATTCTCTGTCTCGTATAGTTTATTGCATCAGTTTGTTTGTCCTTTTGTAGAAATTTACACCTGGTCGACCTTCTCCCTTTCTGGCCTTCCTGGGTAACCATCTAGTTTAGACAAAGTTCCTTGAGTTGCATTTTTCTACTCAAGCTTGAACTGTAAAATCCAACAGTACATATGCTGCACCAAATTTATGGTTTGCATGATTGCATCATTGCAGCTGATGGGTTACTACCACCTGATTGACATTGATTGCCGAAATTAATACTTTTTTTTTTTTTTTTATATTTTCAAGGTTCGATTAAGAAAAGTGAATAAAAGGGAGAGTGGTCTGATTAAAAGAGATAGATCGAGATCAATATTTTTTTTTTATCTAAATGGATTTCCATTTTTGACAGAGTTCAATGGCATCACTTGATCCATATAATTGAGCACGTCAAGTGGGATAAGGCTGGGTGAGTGTTGTGTGTTTTTAATGTTTCAATGGATTTGAAGAGGCTAAAGAGTCCATAAAGCAAGTAAATGTTGATGGCTCTTCTACCTTGAGCATGGATAGGAAATGGAAAATAACTGAAATAAGTGATTCTAACTAGTTTTGATGTGAGAAGTTCAGGTTATGTGATAATCATAGAAGTCAATTATGCAGAGATTAATTACTTTGACTTGCCAAAACATCTTTAATGGTGTACTTGTAATAGCTTTTGCTATTTGGGGAGTGGTTAGATTTGTGATTATGGTAATATAAATCTGTCATCTGCCATGTTAAAACCAATCAATTGTTATCAAAGAACGTTTTCTAATTTTTAAGTGTTTGTTTTCGTACCTGGTGGCGGCTAGCATAATTAGTTGATTGACACTTTCCCACTATCTTGGATTAGGTAAAATTGTGGGAACACGTTAATAGGGTGCCATAATATGTAAATGTCAACCACGTAGTCGCTGCTTGAGTTTTTTCTATAAACATTTGAGCTACACTGGTACGGTAATAGTCCATTCTCCTGCAGTATACTTGCTTTAGCAAAGGTTAGCCTTGAAATTTCAGCATGAAGAATACAATATCCATTTCTCAACCATGTGTTTGCAGCTTCAATTATATGTGCATAGGCATTTTTACATTATTGGCTGTTCTCACTTTTAGATAACCATTAATCATAGTGCAATGTTGAAGTTGATATGATTTTGAACCCACATTGATTCCATTTGTTGGAAAACTGCCTTAATTGTAGTCATCCCTAGCCTACCTTAGTTGCAACCTCGTTGAAGGTTGCCTTAATTGCAACCCCAAGGGTGGTGTATAGTTTCAAACTGATTAGAGATATGGCTTAACTGGAGCTTATAATGCTTAAGCAATCCCCATTGTACAAGCTAGTTGTGTAAGTTTAAGTTAGGTCTCAAGACTAATTTTAAAGACGATCATTCTTAAATAGAATAGAACACAAGAGACTTGATTTTTAAATTCCTTGAAAGAATATTTGATTTTTGAATTGTCTATGGTTTTAGTTATTTATGTATGTATTTATTTATACCACCCATGATTAGGACTTATATTGGCTATTTACAAATCATGTAGTGTATGCTAATATATTTCAATTGAGTGCATTGCTGGCTACTAGCATCTTTTTTGTTATTGGTAACTGTCATGATTTGTTATTATTTCAATTACTAGATTGTGGTTTCCCCTCTTTTCAGCCTTTTGAATTTGAAATGGAAGAAAAGTCCAAATTATGCAATGTGTGTGACACATGTTGCTCATGCCATTGTATGTGCATATTGAACAAGTGGCAACGGCAGCGGGTGTGGGGGTCGATAACTTTACTGATAAAAACCTATGAGGGTAAGGGAACCTATAAGTTCTCTTCTAAGGCACCATTCGGTTCTCTGCGTTGTTGAGTACCATATGCGATTGTGGTTGTGAGGTAAGTACTATCTGTTTTGTATCTTCAAATCATAACTTGTTTTCTGGAATGTAGAAAGTTAAGCTACTTTCAGGGATTTTGATTCTTGCGAAAACACTGAATTGCTTTAAAATGTGAGAAACACCCAATTTTGCGTACGATTCGGTGACCCTCCCAAAGGTTTGACCAATTTTGACGACGATAGATTTTCTATCAACTTGAGAAATGTAAGGAACCAGAAATCCATAGTGAAGCATTTCATGCATCGGATTATATTAGAGTACAAATTTGGGGATCGGTTTTCAAATGGTGATCCTGATAGGAAGAATTCACGTAGATCGGCTTCAATGATAATTTTTCTATAGTTGTTGGTATTCATTTTGGCAAAGCTAACTGCAATCGCTGTGATTCTCAAAACTTGACCGAAGAACCATCAATAACCGGAGCGATTATCCAAACAGATCACATCAATCAAATGCCCTTTCATTAAAAGATTTCTATGATAGTGCTATCTTGGTGAAGGCACATTATTTATAATTTTTTTAACTGTTTTGTAGATCTCCTTGGTGAAATTTTCTAGCAATCAAAACTGACTCCTATTATTTATTTCAGGGAGTGCCTTCCTAGTTCCTAAGCAAACAAAGGGAATCATCATTAGCAAAAGTAGCACTATCCAGGTTAGGTTGTTGGGAAGATGAGGTTTATAACTGTACTACTTGGGATGGTGGTCATCTGCATTTGAGTTGTGTTGAAACTGAACATAATTTGTATTGCAAGAAGCATCTCCAAAAGTCTATTGCTGTGATTAAGAATACCATTGTGTAAGAATCTTGTTCAAATTCAGTTGGCAAATCCTTGCCGTGCCTCAAATACGATGGATGGTGAGGTACGTGGTATTTCTTTTATATCTACTTCAAGCTATCCAGTAATAAATGTATATTTGTGGATTAAGATTGTCTATTCTGTCACTTGAGATGGGTTGAGGATTTCTTAACTGCTTGAGGAAATCCTCAGCGTGATGAATGATATATACATAATTTACAATCTCTAGTATTAGGAAACTAGGAAAATAAGGAAACTATGGAATTTGGAAAAAATACAAGTCAATGCTTACTTATTCACAAAAAATATACAGCCGGTATATAGAAGATATCTTATTTTCCCTAAATAGGAAATACTTTCCAACAATTCCTCACAAGATAGAGCACAAGTCATTTTTACTGTAAACTAACAAACTTAATAGTGATTTCTTAGGTGGAACTTTTTCATGAAAAGTGGAAATTAGTTTCTATATGCTTGGTCTACTCATAAAAGACTGGATTTGGCACAATATGTAAAGTTGATTTGATTATAATAAATTAGCTCTATATGATCAATATTTCCAAATTTTAACTCACAAAGTGGCTATATTACCTATGAATGTTCACAAGTTACCATTGCTCAATACTGGAGCTCTATAGTAAGTCAATGCTTACTTATTCACAAAAAATATACAGCCGGTATATAGAAGATATCTTATTTTCCCTAAATAGGAAATACTTTCCAACAATTCCTCACAAGATATAGCACAAGTCATTTTTACTGTAAACTAACAAACTTAATAGTGATTTCTTAGGTGGAACTTTTTCATGAAAAGTGGAAATTAGTTTCTATATGCTTGGTCTACTCATAAAAGACTGGATTTGGCACAATATGTAAAGTTGATTTGATTATAATAAATTAGCTCTATATGATCAATATTTCCAAATTTTAACTCACAAAGTGGCTATATTACCTATGAATGTTCACAAGTTACCATTGCTCAATACTGGAGCTCTATAGTAAACTGAGTAGCCATATTTTGCCTCTTACTTTTCTAAGACACAAGGTTATCACTAACAAAAACATGTTTTTCAGTGCAGTATAGGAAAAAAAAGTAGTCCTACATAGCCCAACTACTTTCCAAGTGCAATCTACCTAGCTCTTGACAGTCCCTATGCAATGAAAATAGTACTATAAATCTCTATGACAAAAAATTAGTGTTATAAAGGCTTAGACAATCTTCAGCGCATGAATCAGCTGTTGTGATTGAGTTAGGCCTAGCCCCATTCAAGACATTTCAATGATCAACACTTACGACATTGAATGAATCGACTTGCCACATTAACTAAAGGAAGCATCTGGTTTGGTTATTGTACGAGAGTATAATTTCCCAACTAAATCCTTGTACCAGGATCTAAATAAGGCACCCCTAATTATGGTAATAATTTTCAGTTCAGGTCCATTAGAGTGTCAATATGTTTACAAAACAAGCTTGACTCGACTGAAGCAATTATTTTTGTTCCGTAGGATCACTAAGAAAAATGCCCGATGGATACATTGGTCAATACTCAATAACTACCATGGTAGGAGAAAGCCAAACAGTAATCTTAGCTATGGGAAAAAAAATGTATTACTGTAATCAAAAATAGGTTTGAGTGTACTCTTTTGTAACTAGTCAAGCTTAAGACAGTCAATTTGACCCTCTGGTTTATCGCATATAGCCATCACAACCATTAATTCTTTTATACAAAGCGAGAAAGAAGTAGAGTAATATAGAGAAAGAGTTAAAACTCTTGTAAACTGAGTGGTCTCTGCCACATCAGCAGTTTAGTTAGCTGTTCTGTTATATTTTCTGGTTTGTTTTAGCTCAGTTTGTTAGACAACTGGTTTTCTGTTAGCAGATTAATTAGGCTATCTTGCATTGAAAGATTCATTGATGTATATAAATTGATTCTGTCAGGTTGAGAAATACAAAAAATAAAAACACAAGTTACAATTTTCAGAAAATTTCTTACTCTTTTTTAGAAATAGAATTTTTTTAGAAACTAGGTCCCATGTGCCATCTTGTTCCAGAATAATCATCATATTAATCATGCTTGCCCCCTGCCTGAACAAGATAGGGTCTCAATCGTTTTAGACTTCTAGAAAACTTAATCTAAGTGGTTGACAGGCCTTTGCAATGTTTGATGTTTGTGCCTGTAGAAATGCATTGTTGGGATGAGCAGCCTCAATTTCTAAAACAGTGTTGGTCTTAATAAGGGGGCTTGTACTTTACAAAGGAAGGCGGGTTTGCTCGTACCCATGGCTGTGTTAATAAGGAGTATATTGGTGTAGATAATTTATACAATTATTTTTCTATTAGCATAGTTTATTTTGTTAGAATAGGTAAACTTATATGTAGGCTAACTTATCTATTTCTGAAAAATATGTTGTGATGGTACCTATTTTTAACCTAGGTCTAGTCTTTTTCATATCTTCTCTTTGTATCTCTAATGTAAGACTTAAATATATTACATGAATGTGTTGAGAGATCATCAATCACGTATTTTTTTTTTACCATACCTTCATTTTGAAGTTGGTATTAGAGCAAGTCAATTCCATTTTGTCCATCTTTTTTTTTTTCCGGTGAGAATACTACCACTCGCTGACATTCACCGTCAGCCATCATCATTTTTCTGCCATGAGCACCTACACTTCTTGTCTCATTAAGCGATAGAGAACCTATTGTCCATCGTTGTCATCTTTTGTTGTCTGTCACCACCAACCTTTGTTATATTCTTCGGCAAGCACCAAGTCTAGTTTGTCTCATCCAGCAACACAAAACCCACCTAGTTGTCGAGGATGAATCATGTGCCACCACGTATAGTGTCTTTGTTCACAACCAATTGCCTCCATAGATTTTGCCGGCTTCACTTGTCCTTTTGTTGAATGGTTTCTTGTTTCCCACCATTGGTTGAAGTGTAATTCCTTAAACACTTCTCGAGTCCACTGTTTGTACTCTTTCCCTTCTTCAACATGCTTTCAAGACTTGTCACCTCCTTTTTGGGAGTCCCACAATTACATTTGAAAATCTTAATGGCAAAAACTACCCCTCTTGGTTTGTGTTTGTAGAGCTTTGATTTTGTGGCAAGATTTCCATCATTTCTTGGAAGAAAATGATAGTGAAGTATCATCAAACAAAGTTGAACAATGGAAGAAACTTGATTTTCAACTTTGTGCTTAGTTGTAGCAAATTGTGGAACCCAATATATTGGGCACTCTTAGATCATCCAAAATTGTTGTTTGGAATAAGACTAGAATAATTTTGCAAATGATATTTAACATTATGATTTTGTCCATGACTTGACATCTCTTGAACAAACTAATCATGACATGACTTTTTTCATCATTGAAGCCTCATCAGCTACTTAGGAGTTAAAGTTGTTCTTAGAAGTTGATTTATTGGATGAAATTAAGTAAAACATAAGGTCTATATGATTATGTGACTTCATGCCATTAACTCAATTTTTTATCATGTTCTAGATAAAATCCAAACCAATCAAGAGGTTCCATCAATTGAGAGTCTAAAAACATGACTTTTTCATGTTCCCACGTTCAAAAGAAAAAATCTTCAGGATTAATCTAAATCAACTGCCATAGTGTCTACTTGGGAAATGGGAGGTCATGGTAATAGAAGAGGACGTAGTGGCTATGGACATCTTTAATGCTTTTATTGTAACAAAATGGACCCTACTAAAGAGAATTGTTTCTCCTTACATGGTTTCCCTAGCAAGATAACTAATGTCTCCAAATTTGGGAAGGTTGATCCAAGATTTTTTTATGCAAAATATTAGGATTGTACAAGGTTAAAATCCAACACCTTTTCACCCAATCTAGTTTGTCAACAACTTGCATTTCTAAAATTGTGGAGAGTCATCAGCTATGAATAATTGATATCGGAGCTTTTGATCATATTTATGGTAATTCTTCCTTGTTTTCTTCTATTTCTTCTCTTAGAGGTCCTCATTTTGTTACTTGAGCCAATGAGTTCAAAGTTATTTCCTAAGGAGTTAGTCAAATCTTCCTTTCTCTTTCTTTGAACCTAAATTTTGTTGACCTTATCTCTACTTACCCCTCTAACTTAATTTTTTTGAGTCAATTAACCAAGTCATTAAATTGTTCAATAACGTTTGATGTCAATTTTTTTTGTTATATATGAACGTGGTACAAGTCAATTGATTGGCAAAAAACATGAATCTAAATGACTATACTATCTTGGAACTAAACTCTCTGTCCTATTTTGCATTTCTATCTCTTAGATTTTTGCATGATCACTTGGGTCATTCACACTTTTTAAAATTGAAGAAAATGGTTCTTGAGCTTAGCAAACTTAAGCCTTTAGAGTCAGTAAGGCCAAATTATCAAGAATTTGAGTGATAATGCCAAATAATACTTTTCTTTTGGCTTTTCTACTTTTTTAATATGCATTTTGCATTAGCTCACCTATTCTCATACATCTTAGTAAAATGGTATAATAGAAAGGAAAAATAGGCACGATTAAAACTACTTGTACTATTGCTTAGTGCTAATATACTAGTAAAATCACATTCCTTAGACTATCCTGTTTCCAGTAAACCTATATTTCTTCTGTCCTTGTGTCTTTGGTTGTGTGTGTTTATTCTATGATGTGTCTCCAAGGTTGCACAAGCTATTTGCATGAGCCATTGATAAGTAACAACTAGCACAATACAGAAAAACACACCCAGAGAGAAAAAAAATATGATACATGTTATTATGACTGTAAACCAAAAACAGGGAGTGAGGGAATAAAAAAACAGAGGGAGACAATCCAATCGTCCCCTGGCCCACCGTTTCCCAAAACCCATCCCAAGCCTCAATCCCCCCCTGCCCCTTACCCCAATGGTTCTCTTTCCAGCTAAAACGAAATTCCCACTCTCTCTCTGCCAGCAATGCAAAACCGTTGCATTCCCTCAGTGGAACAATCCTGTGGTCCCCACGTTATGGGTTTTCACTTCCCTCTCTCATAAACATTATGCATATGCCTATTATGCCCTTCTTTAATTTCTTCTCCATCAGCACCTTCCCCTTTAAAATCCACCTTGTCCTCAAGGTAGAAGTCAGGAAAGGATTCCTTCATTTTGCATACGGATTCCCATGAATTTTCACATTGTGGCAAATTTTTCCATTTCACTAACACTTCCAGAATTCTTTCTTCATCTCCTCTGACTGCCAATATCTCTTCTGGTTGCACTTGTAACTCCAATTCTTCATTCACAAAACTAGGTAATGGTTGGACTTCCGTTGCAGTTGAAATAGTAGGTTTCAACAAAGATACATGAAAAATGGGATGGACTTTGCTCCCTTCTGGCAATTTCAATCTATATGCCACCTCCCCAATTTTTTCGGTGATTTCATACAGTCCATAAAATCTAGGGCTAAGTTTCTGATTAACCCTTTTTGCCAGCTTCTTCAACTTGTATGGTTGAATCTTCAAGTAAACTATATCTCCCACCTTATAACTCAATTCCCTTCTATGCTCGTCGGCTTGTTGTTTCATGCGATTCTAAGGCTTGAGCCAACTGGTCCTTCAATATGCTTAACATCTCATTCCTATCTCTGATCATCCAAACAACTTCTTCTAGCAGAGTGGCTGAGCTATCTCGTCTAATCAAAGGAGGCGGATCCCTTCCATACAAAGCTTGAAAGGGGGTCATTTTTGTAGATTCATGGTAATTGGTATTATACCAATTCTCTGCCCAACTCAACCATTTGTGCCACTGTCTGGGTCTCACCCCTGTCATACATCTCAAATATGTTTCCAAACACCGATTCACCACTTCAGTTTGTCCATCCGTCTGTGGGTGGTAAGCGGAGCTGAATTTTTGTTTAGTTCCTGCCATTCTGAACAACTAAGTCCAAAAAGCACTAATAAATACCTTGTCACGGTCCAAAACAATAGATTCTGGGAATCCATGGAGTTTTACCACATTTTTTTGGAATACTTCTGCAACTTCCTTAGGGTGGGATAGGGCAATGAAATGGGCATACTTGGTGAGTCGGTCTACTAGTCCTCCCGCTTTTGGTAAGCCTCCAATGAAATCCATGGATAGGTCTGCCCAAATCTGTTTAGGGACAGGAAGAGGTTATAATAATCCAGCAGGACTAAATGTTTGATATTTATTCCTTTGAGACACCTCACACCTTTGCACATAGTCTTGAATGTTCTTCCTCATCCGTTCCCAAAAAAACATTCTAGAAATACTTTTATAAGTGCGGAAATATCCTGAATGTCCCCCTACCGCTAAATCATGGAACTCCTTTAATATTACATGAATTTTCAGAGACCCCTTTGGAATGACTAACCTTTCTTTGTAATACAACCTTCCATTCTTTAGTGTGTACCCCTTATGTTCTCCCTTTTTTAGCAACAAATCTTGGATGATTTTATTCAATCCTTCATCCTTTACAACCTTTGCTTCTAACTATTCCCAGTCCAAGAGTTGGACTCTTGAGATAGCTAAATACAACATCCTTCTTGAGAGGGCATCCGCCACTCGGTTCTCTGCTCCAGGCTTGTACTGGATCTCAAAATCAAAGCCCAACAATTTGGAAATTCACTTGTTTTGCTCCTCACTCGTCAATCTTTGTTCAGCTAAGAATTTCAAACTTTTATTTATCAGTTCGCACTATGAAGTGTCTTCCTAGCATATAATGCCTCCATTTTTGCACTGTCATGACTACTGCCATTAGTTCCTTTTCATAAACTGACTTGTTCATAGCCCAATCTGAGAGGGTATGACTCATATAAGCAATTGGCTGCCCTTCCTGCATCAACACAACTCCAATTCCCTTGCCTGATGCATCTGTCTCTACAATGAACATCTTCTCAAAGTTTGGGACAGCAAGAACAGGAACCTGGGTCATTGCTGTTTTCAACCTATCAAAGGCCTCTTGTGCTGTTTCATCCCATTTGAATTTATCCTTCTTCAATTGCTGGGTTAGAGGCCATGCGATCTTCCCATATCCCTTAATGAATTTCCGGTAATAGTCTGTGAGGCCTAAGAACCCTCTCAACCCCTTCACATCCTTTGGAACTGGCCATTCCATCATTGCTTGTATTTTGGCTGGATCTGCTGCCACTCCCTGACCTGAAATAATATGTCCCAAATACTTTATGCTCATCTTCGCAAAAGTGCATTTCTTCTTGTTGACGACTAAGTTATTTTCCCGCAAGCTTTCCAACACCTTCGTCACATGCTCTTATGACAATCCATGGTTTTACTATAAATTAGGATATCATCAAAGAACACTAATGTGAATTTCCTCAAGTAAGGTCGCTGGACTTGATTCATTAGAGCTTGGAAGGTTGAAGGGGCATTTGTAAGCCCAAAAGGGCATTACTAAGAATTCGTAATGTCCCTCATGAGTTCTGAATGCGGTTTTAGAAATGTCTCCTTCATCCATTTTGATTTGGTGATAGCCTGATTTGAGATCCAATTTGGAAAAAATCATGGCTCCTCCCAATTCGTCTAGTAATTCATCAATGATGGGAATGGGAAATTTATCCGCTATTTTCATCTTGTTTAAAGCTCTATAATTAATACAAAACCTCCACCCTCCATCCTTCTTCCTAACCAAAATAACAGGGCTGCTGTAGGGGCTATTACTAGGCCTTATAATTCCTGCTGTTAACATTTCCTTCACAAACCTCTCAATTTCATTTTTTTTGGTAGTAATGATACCTATAAGGCCTAATATTGGGTATATTTGCTCCCTCCTTAAGAATCACAACATGATCACAGGCCCTCTTGCGGGGCAAGACAGTGGGCTCTCTAAATAAATCCTCATATTCATTTAGCACCGTAGCCAATTCTGGGATCATAACATTACCTGTTTCCGTGTCTATAGTTGAGGGATTTTGATAAGATAGCTGTTGAAGTATTTATTAGATTAAGTGTATCTTGTTGGACGTTTATGAGATTAGTTGTAGACCTAGTTCCTAGAATGCATCTGTTTATCTTCTCTAGGATTAATCATGTCTCTCTATTAATTGTATATCTGAATCTGTATTTTTATCTCCTATAAATAAGAGAACACAAGAAGATGATTGCAGGCTCTCAAAATCAGTTCTTTATTTTCTTTTTTCTATTTCAAGTTGGTATCAGAGCGGGTTCATCCTGCTCTGCCTGTCTCTGTTTTTTTTTTTCTGGCATTAATCGCCGTTCATCGCCGTCCGCCGCCGTTCGCCACCGGTGTTGTCTTCTCCGGCGCCTTTTTCCTCTCTGACACTTGGGTTTGGCTTGCCTCGAGGAGCGCGACCCAACCCTAGTGTTCGCTTCCTCTATCTCTGCCTCACGCACCGCCACGCGCCACCCTCGTCAGTGGCTTCCTCCGCGCGTGGGCCTCACGCGCCGCCCTCTCGGTGGCTGTTTTGCTCCAGGCCACCTCTATTCGGCTCGCCTCGTCGCCCTGGTGCCAGATCTGCACTTTGTTTTGTGTTCTCGGTCACAAAACGTGGTGGATTTGCGTTTTTCTCTCTGCCTCTCTCGGTCCTCTCTCTGACAGCACGCTGGTCTTTTCGTGTTTCCTGTAAAATGTCAGGACCTGTGTCTGTATCTTTTTCTGGGACTCCGACTATAACCACAGAAAAATTAAATGGAAAAAATTATTTGTCTTGGGCTTCCTCTGTTGAGCTCTGGTTTCTAGGTCAAGGAGTTCATGATCATCTAGAAGAAGATGGAAGTACTATACCAGCATATTAGGCTCCTCAATGGAAGAAACTGGATTATCAACTTTGTGTACTATTATGGCAATATGTTGAACCACATATTTTGAGCACTCTTCGAGCCTTCAAGACATGTAATTCTTTTTGGAAAAAGGCTCAAAATATCTTTGCTAACGATATTCAACGACTTTATGATTCTGCTAATAGACTAGCCTCCCTTAAGCAAGAGGATAATTCCATGATGTCCTTTGTTCGTTGAAGCTCGATCACTGTTGAAGAATTAAAAATGTTCCTGGAGGCGAGAATCATTAGAAGAAAGGAAGACGAAGCTTGGATAAATTCTATATGGTAATGATTCTTAGGGCTATGAATCCAGAGTTTAATCATGTTAGAGACCGGATTCTAACTGGAGAAGAAGTTCCTTCTACGGAGAGTTTAATCACAAGGCTACTTCGTGTTCCTTCTATCAAAAGCAAAAACAGTCAAGAACTTACTGATTCTTCCGCCATGATTTCTGCTCGTGGAAGAGGTAATCACAGCTCTAGAGGACGTGGTGGGAAAGGACGTCCTCAGTGCTCTCATTGCAAAAGAATGGGACATACTAAGGAAAATTGTTTTGCTCTGCACGACTTTCCTGATAAGGCAGCTAATACCTCAAAATCTGGAGTTGATGAGCCCAAGTTCTCTCATGAAGAGTATCAAGAATATTTAAGGATGAAATCAACCAATTTGGCTCAAGCATCTACAACACCAAATTCGTCAACCGCTTGCATTTCGCAATCTGTGGAAAGTCAAAATCCATGGATTATTGACTCAGGTGCTTCTGACCACATGTCTGGTAATACCTCTTTATTTTCCTCTCTTTCATTTCCTAAAACATCCCATCTCATATCTTTAGCTAATGGATCTAAAGTAGCCTCTAAAGGAATTGGTCAAGTATCCATCTCTTCTTCTTTAAACCTTCAAAATGTTCTTTGTGTTCCTTCTTTTCCATTCAGTCTTGTTTCTGTAAGCCAATTAACCAAATCATTGAATTGCTCAGTAACCTTTAATGCCAATTGTTTTGTTATCCAGGAACGTGGTACGGGTCGACTGATTGGAGAAGGACATGAATCTGGAGGCTTATACTACCTTAGGACTAAGTCATCTGTATCTTGTGTTGCGTCCTTATCCCCAAAACTGTTACATGAGCGATTAGGGCATCCTCATTTAACAAAATTGAAAAAAATGGTTCCTGAACTTCAGAACCTTCAAACTCTTGAATGTGAATCCTGTCAACTAGGGAATCAACTAGGGAAACATACCAGGTCATCCTTTCCAAATCATTCTGAATCTAGATGTGATTCTGCTTTTAGTATTGTTCATTCAGATATATGGGGACCTAGTCGTGTTTCATCTTTTGGTTTTAGATATTTTGTTACTTTTATTGATGGGTTTTCTAGATGTACTTGGGTTTATCTTATGAAAGATCGTTCTGAACTATTGCCTATCTTTAAGTCTTTCCTTAATGAAATTAAAACTCAATTTGGAAAAGTAATCAAAGTTTTACGAAGTGATAATGCCAAATAGTACTTTTCTAATGATTTTTCTAATGTCCTAAATTCTCAAGGCATTTTACACCAGTTCACGTGTCCTCACACACCACAGCAAAATGGTATAGCAGAACGAAAAAATAGACATTTGGTTGAAACCGCTCGTACCTTATTGCTGGGTGCCAATATGCCTATTCATCATTGGGGAGATGCTATTCTAACTGCATGCTTTCTCATTAATAGAATGTCATCTTCTTTTCTTGATAATAAAGTTCTACACTCTATTCTATTTCCAAAGGAACCAATTTTTCATGTTTCTCCTAGGGTATTTGGATGTATATGTTTTGTTCATGACATGTCTCCTGGCTTAGATAAACTCTTACCTAGAGCTATCAAATGTGTCTTCTTGGGGTATTCTCGTCTTCAAAAAGGATATCGGTGTTATTCTCCTGAAACCAAGAGGTACTACATGTCTGCTAATGTCACCTTTTTTGAATCATCATTCTTCTTCCCTTATTCTATGCAGGATATTGATTCTGTCCAAAATGTGTTTCCTGTTCCCTTAGTTGAATCAGTTGTACCTCCTATTCCTGACACCCCAAATCCCAACCAAAATACTCTAGAATCAGCATCACAACCTATCATCACCTATCAACGCAGGAACCAGGTGAACAATCCCATTCCCCAAGATGAGTCATTCATAACAGGTCCTTCACCATCATCCTCTAATACCACGGCTCCTGATAACGATGACTCCAATTGGCCCATTGTCATTCGCAAAGGTACTCGTTCTACTCGTAATCCTCATCCCATTTACAATTTTCTTAGTTATCATAGATTGTCTCCTTCCTATTGTTCTTTTATTTACTCTGTTTCTCTATTACAATTCCCAAAAATGTGGTCGAAGCGCTTGATCATCCTGGATGGCGACAAGCCATGATTTCTGAAATGCAGACTCTTGATCACAGCAAAACATGGGAGCTTGTTCCTCTCCCTTCGGGAAAGAAAACAGTTGGTTGTCGTTGGATCTATGCTATTAAAGTTGGGCCCAATGGTCAGGTTGATCGTCTTAAAGCAAGGTTAGTGGCTAAAGGGTATTCTCAGATATATGGACTTGATTATTGTGATACTTTTTCTCCAGTAGCCAAAATGACCACTGTCCGCCTGTTCCTTGCCATGACCGCCATTCGTCATTGGCCTCTTCATCAATTGGATATTAAAAATGCTTTTTTGCATGGTGACTTAGAAGAAGTTTACATGGAGCAACCTCCTGGATTTGTTGCTCAGGGGGAGTCTGTTTTGGTTTGTAAATTATGTCGATCCCTCTATGGCCTAAAACAATCTCCATGTGCTTGGTTTGGAAAATTCAGCTCTATTGTTCAAGCTTTTGGATTAAAACGCAGCGAAGCAGATCATTCAGTGTTTTATTGTCACACTGCCCCTGGCAAACATGTTTATTTAATTGTGTACGTTGATGATATTGTCATCACAGGGAATGATGCTGCTAAAATATCTCAGCTAAAAGAGCACTTGTGTAGTCATTTTCAGACCAAGGATCTTGGAAATCTAAAATATTTCTTGGGTATTGAAGTAGCTCAATCAAGAGAAGGTATTGTCATCTCTCAAAAGAAGTATGCTCTAGATATTCTAAAAGAAACAGGTATGATTGATTGCAAACCTGTGGACAGTCCTATGGATCCAAATTTGAAGTTAATGGTAGGACAGGGTGAAGTTTTCTCTTGACCCAAAAAGATATAGAAGACTGGTTGGGAAACTTATTTATTTGACGATTACTAGACCTGATTTGTCTTTTGCAGTTGGTGTTGTCAGCCAATTTATGCAAGCTCCTTGTGTGGATCATTGGAATGCTATCATTCGAATCTTAAAATATATTAAAAAAGTTCCAGGACAAGGATTATTATATGAAGAGAAGGAAAATACCCAAATTTTTGGGTACTGTGATGCTGACTGGGCTGGATCTCCTATGGATAGGCGTTCCACTACAGGCTATTGTGTTTTCATTGGAGGAAATATCATTTCATGGAAAAGCAAAAAGCAAAACGTTGTTGCCCGATCCTCTGCTGAAGCTGAATATAGGGCAATGGCGTCTCTTACTTGTGAACTTGTTTGGGTAAAACAATTCTTGCAAGAATTGAACTTCTGTGAGATTCAATCTATGAAGATGTATTGTGATAATCAAGCTGCTCTTCACATTGATTCCAACCCAGTATTTCATGAGAGGACTAAACATATTGAGATTGACTGTCATTTTATTCGGGAGAAGTTGTTGACTAAAGAAATTTGTACTGAGTTTGTTGGTTCCAATGAGCAGCTTGCAGATGCATTAACAAAATCTTTGAGAGGACCTCGAATGGAATTCATTTGTTCCAAGCTTGGTACATTCAATTTGTATGCTCCAGCTTGAGGGGGAGTGTTGAAGTATTTATTAGATTAAGTGTATCTTGTTGGACATTTATGAGATTAGTTGTAGACCTAATTCCTAGAATGTATCTGTTTATCTTCTCTAGGATTAATCATGTCTCTCTATTAATTGTATCTCTGAATCTGTATTTTTATCTACTATAAATAAGAGAACACAAGAAGATGATTGCAGGCTCTCAAAATCAGTTCTTTATTTTCTTTTTTCTATTTCAAGTATAGCATAAACCCTTCTCTTTTATCATTGAGAGCCTTCACCATAGCTTTCCACGAAGCTTGAGATTTACTGAGGGAGGGGTCATCCCTTATCACTCTTTTCTCTTTTAGTTGTTCCCACTTCAACACCCAATTTCTGAAATTAGCTCTTACATTCCCCAAGCTAGCCAGCCAATCCATTCCCAAAACTATATCTGTTCCTCCCAACTCCATTAAAAAGAAATGTTGCACGATGGGGACCCCCTGAATCTTCAATTCCAACTGTTTACAAATTCCTCTATTAATCACCTTATCCCCTGTCCCTACTTCAACTATAAATTCTGCTATCTCACTCACTTCCAGCTTGAGGTGGTTAACCAATTTTTTGGAGATAAAATTTGTTGATGCTCCGCAATCCACTAATACTAGAACCTCCGCTCCTCCTAGCTTCCCTTTAACCTTGAATGATTGATTTGAGGTTAGTCCTTCCTTGCTCCTAAGAGATATTTGTAACACTTTAGCCTGAAGGATATCTATCTTTTCTTCCTCCCCTTCACTGTTTTCGGTGTTCTCTTCCTTAGAATTTTCCACTTGTACAAATTGATAGTGTTTCAATTTGCACATATGATCTCGACCCCAAGTCTCTTCATATTTAAAAAAGATCCCCTTCCTACTTCTTTCTCTCAACTCAGCTTGAGAAAGTCTTCCTCCCCCACCCACAACTTTCTTCTCATTTAGTTCACTTTCCAATTGTTTACTACTTGCTCCTTCTCTATTTCCTCCCTTCTCCCATCTTGTGAAACTTCTATTAGATTTGGCCAAAGATTTCTCACCCATTTTCCTCTCCAAACTCATCAGCCCTACTTTTAGCAACACATTATTTTTCTCTTCTAACAATAGCGCCTTATCCATCAACTCTTCTAGTGTGCCCATGGTGTGTATTTTTAGTTCTGCTTGAATTTCTTTCTTCAAGCCATTGAGGAATATCCCTTTCAACATAATTCTCTCCTCCTTCAATGGAGCTGATTCCATTTCAAATTTCTCCCTATATTTCATAACTGAACCGGTTTGTTTAATTTTCAGCAATAGTTCGAAAGGATTTTGCACCAACCCTGGTTGGAAACGTCTAATTAGCGCCCCTTTGAACTCCTCCTAGTTGAGTTTGTTACTTTGATCTTCCCACCATTCATACCAGCTCAATGCTCTATCCTCCAAAGTAATAACTACGACATCCAACTTTTCCTCTTCTTCTACTAAATTCAGCTTAAAGTATAGTTTAACACGAACGATCCAACTATAAGCGTTTCCGCCTCTGAATATCGGAATCTTCAATTTTCTGCCCCTAAAGTCTCGTGATGAGTCGCTACTCACACTTCGAGAAAGGGAACTCATTCGGTCTTCCCCATCATCGCTCTTAACCTCTCCATCCACTGCCACATTTCTCTTCGACCATTGGTGTGAGTGCTGCTGTGGGGTCTGCTGTTATGTGATCAATCTCGAGATATAATCAAGTTTTTTAGTTCCTCCAGTTGTTGTTCGAGCTCATCCATGCGTCTCTCCATGACGTTGTGGGTAAGGACCATGCACTCCCAGAATCGTGTTGTGATACCAATTGATAAGTAACAACTAGCACAATACAGAAAAACACACCTAGAGAGAAAAAAAATGATATTATTATGACTGTAAACCAAAAACAGGGAGTGAGGGAATAAAAAAACAGAGGGAGACAATTCAATCGTCCCCTAGCCCACCGTTTCCCAAAACCCGTCCCAAGCCTCAATCCCCCCCTGCCCCCTTCCCCAATGGTTCTCTTTCCAGCTAAAAGGAAAATCCCACTCTCTCTCTGCCAGCAAGGCAAAACCGTTGCATTCCCTCAGTGGAACAAATCTTGTGGTCCCCACGTTATGGGTTTCAACTTCCCTTTCTCATAAACATTATGCATATGCTTATTATGCCCTTCTTTACTTTCACATCCATCAGCCATTAAATGTATTTTCTCATGATATTCTTGTTTCCAAAATTGGTATCATGCTATTCTTTAAAAAATAAAAGGTACTACATGTCTTCGAATGACACCATTTTTTTAAGAGACTCCTTTCTTTCCTTCTCCCCTACAAGATGCTAGTTATGTCCAACAAATCTTACTTGTGCCATTAGTTGAACCATTATCATTCCCCCCATCAGGATGCTCCAAATCAAACTAATACTAAAAGTCCCCCTCACCTACCACCATCAAACACAAGATACTAGTTTTATGTCACATGGTGAGTCCTCTTCTTCAAGTCCTTCACCACCATCTACCCATACCATGACTCTAGATAATAAAGATCCTGGTTGGCCATTGCTATTTAGAAAGATCTTCATGGGAGTTAGTTACTCTTGCATCTAGAAAGAAAACAATAGTTTGTAGGTGGGTTTACACTATTAAAGTTGGGCCCAATGGTATAATTGACTGCCTTAAAGTAAGACTAGTACGAAAGGATACAAATATATATAATCACAATTATTGTGATACTTTTTCTCTGAAGACCAAAATTACCATTGTCCAACTTTCTTTGCTTTGGTTGCTATTTGCCATTGGCCTCTCCATTAGATGGATATCAAGAATATTTTTCTTCATGGTGATCTAAAAGAGGAAACCTACATGGAACAACCTCCTAAGTTTGTTCCTTAAGGAGAGTATGGCTTAGTTGGTGAATTACACCAATCTCTCTATGGTCTCAAAGAATTTCCATGTGCTTGGTTTCTAGGGAATCCTTTCTTGACATGGAGTATCTGATGGATTTTTAACTTTACCTTTCTCTATCTTTTTGTTATACATGGCACTTAGATACTTCTCACAGACAAATTGCATTCCAAAAACAATTGGTTTCTAGAGAATCCTTTCCACCTTGTTGTGGCATGGTGTGCTATTTTAGTGTTTGAAATTCCATCTACAAATTTTTATTTATTTTTTCTTTTACATTTCTGCATACAATAATCAAGTTCTGTTGACAACAATTTCGTGTGTGTTAACTTTCAATAATTATTCATTAGATAACACATCATAGCAAATTTTTATATTGTGTGCATATAGCGTGTTAAAAGAGGTATACATGCAACATAAAAATTTGTTTATTTTTTGTTTCAGATGAATTTATATAGCTTTTTTTGGCTCCCATTTGATAACAGGATATAGTTTGTGATATCTGTGGGGATGCAGGACAGGAAGAGGATCTTGCTATTTGTAGCAAGTGTACTGATGGGGCAGAGCACATGTATATATTTTAATATCTTGCATCATTGTATTTTTATTTTCATTTTATGGGGAAGTGAAATGATATGGTTTTATTTCTCATTCATTAACCAGTTATTGTATGGCTGATATGCTGGACAAAGTTCCTGAAGGTGATTGGTGGATGTGTGAAGACTGCAAGAAGTCAGAACGCCAAAAATCTAGAAGTCCAGTACATCTTGAATCTTCAGGTAGTTCAAAATTAAACTCAAAATCTTTCCATGATTGGAAAAGGCAAACAGGTACTAGATCTTATTCATCAGCTAACATGCATGGTGTCCATTCAGAAGCTCAGTCTTTGAAAGAACACGGGGTTACGGAGATGAATGCCAAAGCCTGCGACAACACTCTACTGCCTAAGGACTTCTCATGCAAGACTTTCAAAAATGGAAAAGCAAAAGAAACCAAAGATACTACATCTGAGCTCCAAATTTCTTGCATTCCTCAAGACAAATCTAAAGTTCCTCTTGCTTATAGTGAGAACAGACTAGCAAGCACCTTAGAAGTTGAGTTAGATAAAAAAAGAAAGGCTCTTGAGACAAGAGCCGAACTCCTCAAAGCATCCAAACCAACCAACGAATCCCTACTTAGTAGGGAGTCCCCATCCAAAAAATTGGGAAACACAAATGTGAAGCAATCTTCCTATGGATCTCAGAAAAGCTCCGAGTTAGACTCTCATTCAGGTAATAAATTGCTTAACACTGGACAAACAAACTGAGATTGCATGCGTTGTATGTGATACAATGACAAATCGTTCTGTTTGTTATTTAATTTAGATTAGTTTTATTAAACTTCAATCTTTCTATACAGGCTCTCCTCTCTTCAAGCCTGGATTGTCTGAAATTGCAGATGTAAAATTTAAAGGACAGCAGGGAAAGGTTGGTTATTTGCCCATGCAAAATGTTGAGAAAAATATTGCTATGCATGATACTAGAAAGGGGGGAAATCTTGGATTGCTGTCCAAATCTGTGTCATTTGATAATGCTAGCTTGGTGAAACTAAATGGCACAGGTTCCGAAGTTATTGTAGAAGATGCTTATCCCCCTGTGGTATTCAAGAATTCAAGCTCTGCAGAAGATACAAAGACAACTAAAGGGAAACATGTATCTGGTGTTGTAGCTGCAAAAAGTAAAAACAGAACTACTTCTTGTAATAAAACTTCCTTGTCAGGATCCAACCATGGTAGACTTGATGCTGTTCAAGGGTGTGGGCAGGTGGATCCTAAATTACAACCAAACAGTCCCAAAGCTCATAAAAACCTGATCTGTCTAGACAAAGACAAGAAAAATGAGAACTGGCAAGATGGAAAACGCACTGAAGCTGTGACAGTTATGAAATTACATGAATTGTGCAATCGTCATGGTTGTGATAAAAAGTCTCAGTTTGAAGCAGCAAATCTTCCCGAGGATTTTCCCATCCCAAGTCTTGTTTACACATGGAAGTATGGTCCCTTGAATTATTTCCAGTCAAACATCTTGGCTTACCACCCTTTTAAGATTTATCATATGTAATTATGTCTGATTATTTTGTGCAGTGGAATGTTTCTGATTCACAGGGTTGAGGGTATTGTAAGTACTCGTGTTGGGATGCAAGCATATGTATCAACTTGTGCTTCAGAGGAAGTTCTTGCAGTAGTGGGCAGACTTCCTGATATTGTTGTACTAGAGGAACTACCTCTCTTGAAGATGTGGCCATCTCAATCTGTGGAAAGTCAAGCTACAGAAGAAAATATTGCTGTATACTTCTTTGAAAAAGATTTTCATAGGTATGCTTTTACCATTTCTTTTGTAACTAATAAACTCGGTTTTATATTGTCTGCTTCGAAATTTTTTTAAAGCTATGGAACATATCACAGAGAATTGATAGAATACATGAGCAAGAATGATTTGGCTCTCAAAGCAAATTTGAATGGGCTTGAACTTCAAATATTTCCATCGAATGTTCTGCCTGGGAAACTCCAGTGTAAGCAGTGACATTTAACTCATATCTATGTTTAGAAAATTATATTTTAGCTACAGTAAGATTCCAGAAGCGTTCAAATCTCTACGCTATTTTTTGTGCTTGGCAGGTTGGAATAAGTTATTATTCTTATGGGGTGTATTTAGAGAACACACGATTGACGATTCGGCAAACACACTGGTGCAAAATTATCAGAAGGTATTAAAACACATGAAATTACTTTGGTCTCTGTATTTGACCCACAACCATATGATAAGTACTTTTCTTTTCCATCACTTTCTATGAATATTGATTTGAAGTGTAAATTTTAGAACATTTTAATTTTCTACAGTTTATTTACGGTATGATGTAGATGTTGATCAGTGAGGGCATTAGTATCTCAAAATGATGGATTATTGACCTTATTTGGTTAGCAGTTAGGAACTAAAGGAGTGGTAAGAGTGGGAGGGGAACTGAAGGGAGAGGAAGCAGTTACAAGGGCACATCCTATTTAAATGATTTTTTCGATAAATACTAAGAGAAGAAATAAGAATGAAAACAGTTTCCGCATAAGCTCTATGCATAAACTAATTTATAGAAGTTCTCTCATTAATTTATTCAAAAATTATTTTTTTACTTGTGTATTAGCTAGTTTTAGATTACAGAAAAGTTTATTTTTTCTTATTTTTATCTCCTTAAAATGTTAGTAGAGAAGTTTACCTAAACAAAGCCATAACAAAAGTACAGGCGGCAATTAATGATTGGAAAGAGCGATGATAGGGGTGGAGAGAACAGATTCTGTTATTGGAGATGTAGGAGGTCGGATTAACATGTAGAAGGGTCCTATTATCAGGAAGAGTGTTATTTTGTAGTTTATTTCTGTTCATCTCGCAAGGATCTTTGCTCCTCCATTGTAATATTATTTTAGTTTGTTTATACATCCTATGCTACGTTGTATTGAGGATTCATCCTTTGTGAGAATTTTCAGAATACGGATACCAGTTACCTTCTATTTTTTTAATCTTTGCTTGGGTCCTATCATATATAACTTCTATACTGAGTCTGCTCATAGTATCATATAATTCCATTTGAAAAATAGAGATATTGTTGCACCGTTTATATTTTACATAATCACTCCATGTATTGAAGTAAGTGAAGAAAAAATAAATCCTCTGTTGTCAGCATTGAGAGTGACAATGACATAACAAGCTGAAAAACGAATTTGGATATACATGTGCATGGAATAATGCCATGCATAACAATCGGTGCTAATACATGCTTACTTTATTGCAGCGAAAAAATAGAGATATTGTGAGCAGTTCGGTATTGGATTTAAATGTGAATCCTCATGATGGGATTAACATGGTTGGAGACCATGAAATTGGTGAATTTGATGCTATGCATATAAGTTCTTCAGGTGACAGAATTGTGCTAGGTGGAGTAGATAATTATAATTCTGGTTGCCCTGATTCGAGAAAATCTCAACACCTTGATGGACAAAAGGAAACTCCAGGGTCCGTTCGGGATCTTAAAATTTCACGATGGCCTAAAAACGCCACCCTGGAAGTTGGCGCGTGTCTGTCTGTTGAGAATGTGGATGTGGATGATCAACCAAGCAAACATGGGAAGCTCAAGAGGCCAACTAAAGAGAACAACAATGCTGACAATGTTAAGCCGCATGGCAAGCTTCCTAGGAACGAGAGAGGTAATACCGACAGACCTGAATCCCTTGCTTCTCCAACAAACCATGAGGAAAATCTGAAGCTGCTTTATTGGCAAGCTGTGGAAATTTTGTCCTCTAAATTTGGACTTTGAATTGCACCATGTCAAGGGCTCTTGAACATGATTAACCCTTTATGTACACTGGCTCAGTGATATTTAAGAATTCCGGTAGTACATACTCCATAGAACATCTGCCTGCAGGATGGAGCATGGCTTATTTGCTTTTCCCTTTGTTTGATTTCCCTTATTCTGCTCTTGTCCTTTTCCTAGTACATTTGCATGTGTGTTTTGTCAGTTGAGACATTCTCTTCATATTCATATTTACCGGGAAAGAGTTTAAAGATAATTTTAAAGAAATTATTGTCTGCTAGAATCGTAGATTTGGCTCAGGTAAAAGATGTGTGTTCATCATAGTTTGGTTGGAACACCCTAGTGTTTTGTTAAGATTCTCTAGGAATATTATATATGATCTCGCATGTATATAACTTATAAGTGATGAGGGGAATGCATGGAATATTATCTATAGATACGACTGTGGAAGTTGGTGCTATATTAGTTTCTTATAGATGATAGATCTCAAATATGAAAACTGGAATGAATATAATACAACACGGATGCTATAAACGTGATATGAAGTAGGGTGGGAGTAGCGTATTTATGATGACGTTCAGGGTTTAGGATTTTCATGGTTAAGGTGAATTTTCATTTTAAAAAAACAAATATGTATTTTCTAAAACTTGAAAATATGAAAAAAAAAATTTAGACAATTAAAACAAAACATTTGTAAAAGCTCTATATTTGAATCGAACTATTGTTTTTAAAGTCACTGTATATAGTTACCCTCTTCCAAAACAATAACATGATCTATAAAAATATCTTAATTATTAAATAAATATATAAGTTCGAATAAATCTTTATCTAAATTCATCATATATAATAATCTCGATTTTAATGTCAATTTTTTGCAAATTAAATAATTAAATAAACATGTATTTAATTCAATTTAATTTAAATTCAAATTAAAATAGTATTAAAATTCCATATTGAATATTATTGGGCTTATAAAAAATCAATCCATCCCTATTATTTGTATAACATTTTAGACAATATTACTTTTTAGATACTAAAATCAATATTCATAATTTGAGTAACTAATTTTGTATGATTATTCAAAATAAAGAAAGAATATGAGAAGATCTCACATATAGTATGTCATATGGTAAATTTCCACTCATCTTATCGAAGTGAGATATGCATAAGCCTTTTCCAAACCCAAAGACAATATCCCCCTTGAATTAGAGTAACATCTTCTGACCCCTAAAATTTAAACCAAAAAGGAGACAAAGATTATTATCCTAATCTCATTTGAATTTGAAAAGCAACTCCAATTACTCTTACTCTCAACTTTTACACATGATGAAGCTCTCTGATTGGTCACTGGATATGGGCATTCTCAGAGCTGAGCCTTCATGTGCTTGATTCTTCTCCCTGCAATCGTGGCTCCTATCTGTGTCATTATTTTATTCTACATCAAATTTTGGTGATATCGTATTAGTTTATTATGGGTTTGTCCTTCCTCGTTAACAAAAAAATGACGAAAACAAAAATTCTAAAAAAGGCTTATCACTGAACTTCAAACAAAGGATATGCAAATAATAATACTCTGAATAAAGTTTGAAGATTAGATATATTAAGGAAATAATTATTTAATTAAATTACAGAAAAGTTGAGCTAAACAAATTAAGTAATCTGAAATGTAAAAGATATTATTCTTTATCACATGCTTTCGTTTTTAAATAGCAACATATGGATTTGGCGGACGAAAAATGAGCAATAAAACTGAGATGCCTTTGTCATGAACTAAAGAAAACGTGAAAGCGCATCATGATAACAACCGTTTTGTCGCAAGCTTAATCAGAATCAACCCATGAATCCGCCCCACATATACTAAACAATAACACACCATGTTGCACCAAAAACAAAATACAACGCACCCTGTATTGGAAAAACACACTTATAAATTGTAACGTTTATCAGACAAAATAAAAGATTATTGCAAAATTTAAATATAACTCAAATTAAGAATAAAAATGTTGAACAACGTAAAAGAAAAATAACCATAATCCAATATCTTAAAATTATTAAATTTATGTCATTAATTTTATCTCTCTCAATAAATTCTCCACCCAACATTATATGACTAAGTTAACGAGTATTACTTGAATGACACTGCATCCATACCAGATTTTTCTAATTCCTCGTCTGAATCACATTTATTATCCAAGTGAAGCTTTTTTAAAAAAATAATAATAAAGATTTAGAAGACATCATCTGTAAGTTCTTCATGAAAATTATGACTTTTTTTTCTTTCCGAAATTGCAAATTTGTATGCATATTTGTTGCAAAATTTGTTTGCACTCAACTTATATGAAAGTCCATGGTAAATACCTTATTATGGTGCTAGTGAAAAAAAAGGAAGTAGAGTGTTGACTGTCACGTAAAGAAAAGTATAGTTTTAGTCTAGGAAAAGCAAAAAATATATTAAACTCTTTTAGAAATAAAAATAGTTTTTATAATATTTTGAGGGAGTATAATATATATTATTAAATTAAAAAAACAATAGGAAAATCATTTTATATGGATGTTGCTGTATTTCTTTGAAAAGTTGTACCTCTTTTGTATTGCTTTAGCCTGAGAAAGGCAACGTGGTCTTCATGATTTTATCCTGTAGCGGCCACGGGTATCACTCATTGGGTTGGGACAAACAATTTTTTTATTTTATTTTTTTTTAACATGTCACACAAAAAGTCCTGAAAAAGTTCTGAGAAGACATTTTGAACCGTTGGAAGAAAAAACATCATGTAAAAGCATAAAATAATTTACAGATACTTTTTTCTCTTTAATAATAAAACGCTACAGTAAAAGAGGAAAGTAAAAAATATATATGATAAAATCAATACTGTAATGACTGAATAAATAAAATATTGATTTCTTTTTATTTTTAATTCACAATCCGTAAATTTTGACTGAAAATATTAAATATTGTGGATGATATAAAGACGCCACCTGGTTTCGCTCCCAAACGTGAAGTAGTATTTAAAATAATAATAATAATAATAATAATAATAATAATAATAATAATAATAATAATAAAACAATGTATCAATGTTTACAAAATTTTTACAACATTTTATTTTATTTAAAATGGATTATGTAGTGTTACAACATTTTTAAGATACTTTTTCAAGTTTCACGAACTTAAAAGATTCACTTAAAATTTTTTTATTAATATTTTTTAGTGAATTTGAATATCTATGTAACATTCACACACAAATATAATACATAGGTTAAAATTATGTACATTTCACAATACAATATCTCATTTGGAAAAAAATTATTTCTGTTTTTTTATTAATTATTGAATCATTTCTTATAAATTATTTATGTAATGTTTTCGGTACTGTTGAAATTTGTTTCAATTCATGAAATTGATTTTATCTAATAATTTTTAGGTTATGGTACCATTTCTTAAAGATTCTGTTTGAAATACATAATAATATAAGATACAATAAATATAATATATTCAAAAGATTGTGTACATGGAATTGTTGAAGGATCCATAGACCGCGTATGAGAGAATATTGCTCTCTTCCTAATAGGTTTGAACGTATTGTGTAAAGTGGTTTTTGTTATCACACGTAAAACTGACTAATGGGGTATCAGTTTTTATCCACCTATCAGCAGAGACCAGGGATCTCTCAATAAGTAACTAATTACGAACAATCCAACCCATCACGGATCGTTTATCGAAACCCAAATTAAATTATTATCTATAAAAAATGATGATGTGTAATATAATTGATAATTACAAATAATTAATTTATTGATTAATGTTAATCCATAACAAATAGAAAATAATAATTTTTTTATATATAATAAGTTATATAAATACAACATTCTCCCACTTGGATAACATTGATAAATAAATTAATTATATCAATTACAAAACAAACACAAATATCAATTAAGAAATATAAACATGAATCACAAAGATAATATCCGATAGGGATGATTACCATATACTTAGATTTCATAAATAATGGATAATAAATAAAATAAAACCAAATATAATAAATATGTGATCCCAAAATGATTTCAAAGAGATGTAATAAAAATGACGTCATTGATAAATTTACATCTCGTAAAAAATCATAATAATATAAAATATGAATCTCAAACTCCCACTAACCTAGTACATCAAAAGACTTAACCACACCCATATGAGTTACATGATTTTGAAAAACTCCAATAGCTACGCCTTTAGTCAGTGGATCTGCTAACATATTTTCTGTAGCAGTATGTTCAATCCGAGTTTGAAAATCCAAAACTTTCTCTCTAACAAATAGAAATTTTATATCAAAATGCTTTGAGCGAGTAGAACTTCTGTTGTTTTGAGAAAAAATGTACGACAGCAGTGTTGTCACAATATATCACAAGTGGCCTAGAAATACTTTCAACAATTTTAAAGCCAGAAACCAAATTTTTAAGCCACACAGCTTGACAAGTAGCTTCATAACAAGCAACATATTCTGCCTCCATAGTAGAAGTAGCTGTAAGAGTTTGTTTAACACTCTTCAAAGAAATAGCTCCTTCTGCCAACTTAAATATAAAACCAGAAGTAGATTTTCGATCGCAGGGCAACCAGCAAAATCAGAATCAGAATAACCAATGACTTGAATTTGATCAGACTTCTTATAGGTCAACATGTAATCCTTAGTTCCCTGCAAATATCTAAAGACCTTTTTAACGGCTTTCCAATGACCCAAACTCGGGTCGCTCAAGTATCTCCCTAAAGCATTAACAGCAAAAGCAATATCGGGACGAGTACAAACTTGAGCATACATTAAACTACCAACAGCAGAAGCATATGGATTTTTTTCCATTTCAATTATATCATTATCATTTTTAGGACATTGAGATTTAGAGAGTTTATCACCTTTTTGGACAGGTGCTACACATGAGGAGCAAGAATGCATGTTAAACCGTTTAAGGACTTTATCAATATATCCTCTTTGAGACAATCCAAGAATGCCACGTGACCTGTCACGAAAAATTTGAATGCCCAGAACAACAGAGGCATCACCAAGATCCTTCATATCAAAATGACTATTTAACATAGACTTTGTCTCAGCCAAAAGTTCAACACTGCTACTCGTAAGAAGAATATCATCAACATATAAGACAAGAATGATGAAATGACTCTCATTTTTCTTCAAGTAAATGCATTGATCCGAGACATTTTCCTTGAAGCCAAAAAAAGTGACCACCTGGTCAAATTTCAAATATCATTGTCTAGAAGCTTGTTTCAACCCATAAATAGACTTTTTTAACTTGCAAACCAAATGCTCATTGTTTTTTTTAGCAAAACCATCAGGTTGAATCATATACACTTCCTCAAATAAATCTCCATTAAGAAAAGTTGTTTTGACATCTATTTGATGAAGCTCCAAATCAAAATGAGCTACTAAAGCCATAACCACACGAAAAGCATCCTTAGTAGAGACCGGTGAGAAAGTCTCTTTATAATCAATGTCATCCCTCTGACTATAGCCTTTTGCTACAAGTCTGGCTTTATATCTCTCAACTTTTCCATCTGGATTACGCTTAGTCTTGAAGACCCATTTACACCCAACTGGTTTGCAACCGAGTGGCAAATCCACAAGATCCCAAACTCCATTATGGGTCATAGAAGCTAACTCATCATGCATTACATTTAACCAATCAGAACCATGAGAACTAGAGATAGCCTCTTTAAAATTAGTAGGATCATCAACATCATTAAGATCATATTCATGCTCTTGAAGATACAACTGATAATCATCAGGTATAGAAAATTTGCGTAATCTTTGAGATCTCCTCAAAGGAACCTCTTCAGTCACATTATCATGAACTTGTTCATCTACTACATGTGATGTAGCATCAACAAAATCTGGAACATAATCATTTTCATCACGGACAACTGGAATCAAATTATCTACAGGAAAAAAAATGGATTGTACGGGAAAAACAACACGGTCTTCTCTAAGAGTGACTGGTTGTAGCGCATTACTCCCACTGTCCAAATCATCCTCAAAGAATACCGCACAGTCAGACTCAATAACCCGGATGGAGTGAGAAGGGCAGTAAAATATGCTACCACGAGAACCGATACAATAACCAATGAAGAATCCACTGACAGTCTTAAAGTTTTTTCAACTGAGGATTATAAGGTCTCACCTCTGCCTTACAACCCCACACATGAAAGTGTCTTAAACTTGGCTTCTTCCCAGTCATAAGCTCATAAGGAGTCTTTGAAACAGACTTGCTAGGTACTTGATTAAGAATATACACAGCAGTCCTTAAAGTGTCTCCCCAAAGGAAATTCGGTAAAGAGGAATGACTCAACATACATCTCACCATATCTAGAAGAGTGTGATTCCTCCTTTCTGCAACACCATTTTGTTGAGGAGTACCGGACATAGTATACTGAGTTTCAATACCACATTCATTAAGAAATCTAGTGAAAGGTCCTGAATTTCTTCCAGTCTCATCATATCTGCCATAATACTCTCCACCTCTGTCAGACCTTACACATTTTATCTTTTTTTTTTTTTTTTCAGTTTTCAACTCAATAGCAGCTTTGAAGGACTTAAAAGCATCCAAGGAACTTGAATTTTCTTGTAGGAGATCTATCCATCCAAATCTGGAATAATCATCTATAAACGTGATAAAATACCTGTATCCACCCATGGAAATGGGTGTCATAGGTCCACACATATCAGTATGAATAAGTTGCAACACATCATCACACCTGTTTGCATCTACATTTCTTACTTTTGTAGTAAGCTTTGAAAGTGATGAAGATCTTATTGAATTACGTTGGCAAAGATCTTGTTGATTTGATGAAATCAAGAATGAAGTCAAAGGCAACTTTGTGGCAGTCAAAGGTCACTTGGATAAAAGAGTAGAAGGATTAGTGTGTTTGTAGCTCTGCTTAGGTATAATCATTTTTATCTTTTCTGGTGCATGAGGTTTCTTCACTTAAAATATTTTGCAAAATGCCTCTAAAAGCGAGTAAAAGGTCAAAACCAAAGTATTTTGATAAAAGCTTTCTTAATCAACTATTTTAACTAATAACATATAAGCTTTATCAACTAAAATGTTCTTCACACTTTTATAACAGGTTTTTAACTAATATAACTTCGAAATAACCAATTGTTTTTATTAAAGAAAGTTTTAAAAACCTTCAGT